AACATATATAATCCAGACTAAGCTACAGCCATGTTTGTGTTGACTAATGTAGATTAGCTGAGGCAGCCATCTTGAATGAAATAGTCTCCAAAAGGTAATTGGTTGTAGATGTTGACAAATTATCCCTTTTGGCAAGTCTCACTAAAAATTACCCACTGATTCGCAAGATAAATATGTTACAAAAGACATGCTAACAGACTGACACACACACACCTGACATGGACAAAAACACTGTTGCCGTCCTTTCACTTTTTGAAGTGGGTGATACATATTTTTCCCTGTAGATTGATCTCTGTACGAGCTCAGTTTGGAGAAACCCAGTTTGTGTCAAACAAGACTGATGAGCTAATGGCTAGTCTTCGTGCAGCCGAGAGCGAAGTGTATTGTCGTCGTACTGAACCAGTTCCATTGTAAATGTACGATTCATCATGAAAACACTGCATGAATCTTTACATTCAGAGAACCAGATTTAACTTTTTTATATTTTTCTACCTGGATTATTGAGCATGCATCAGGATATCTTTACATTCAGTTTCACAACAGAAAGATTTACAATTTTTAGTGGTTTGCAGCAAAGTCTAGCATTTCTGGCAAAGACTGGCACTAAATCTGTCAGGAATTTATTTTATTTTTTACCAGAATTCATCCATCCATCCATTTTCTTTACCCGTTTATTCCATTTTGGGTCATGGGGGTCGCTGGTGTCCATGTCCAGCAATCACTGTGCGAGGGGCGGGGTACACCCTGGATGGGTCCCAAGTCCATCACAGGGACACATAGAGACAAACGAGACAAATTCACTCTCTCACTCACACCTAGGGACAATTTAGAGTTACCAATCAGCCTAACATGCATGGTTTTGGACTGTGGGAGGAAACCGGAGTACCTGGAGAAAACCCACGCATGCACGGAGAGAACATGCAAACTCCACCCAGAGAGGCCCCTGGACCGGGGTTTGAACCAGGGACCTTCTCGCTGAGAGGCAACAGCTCTACCAGTTGCGCCACCGTGCTGCCCTACCAGAATTCAACCTTTATTTAAACAGATAAGTCACATTGAGCCCC